TAAACTATTTCTGTTCTTATGTAACTCATGCGCAACTCTTGCATAACTGTTGTTCAACTTGTGTACTATATATAGCCGTTCACTTTCTTAAATAAAGATGAGAAGTGAGTGAGTAGAACCTCACAATGCCTCAACACCACAATACCTCATAAGGGACAAGAAGGCCAAAGCGACGATGTCTGTACACAGATCTCGCACGGGACAAAACGTGCAAAAGGAGCAAATGTCTCGACACCCAAATACCTCATAAGCGACACGAAGGACAAAACAGACAATGTTTCTACACACATACTTCATAAGCGACAAAAAGAACAATGTCTCAACACCAAAATACCTCGTAAGGGACAAAACGCAGACTCTCTCAAAACCAAAACACCTCGTAAGCGACAAAAGCGACAATGTCTAAACGCCAAAATCCGTCATGAGCGACAAAAAGGACAATGTCCCAACACGAAAATACCTAAAATATCTAATGAGCGACAAAAAACACAATGTCTCAAGCCCAAAATATCTCATGAGGGGCAAAAACCACAATGTCTCCACACCAAAGCACCTCGAACAGGACAAAAAGCAGAGTGTCTCAAAACCAAAATACCTCGTACGGAACAAAAGGGACAATGTCTCAACCCCAACATACCCCGTAACGGACAAAAAGGACAATGTCTCAACGCCAAAGTGCCACGTAAGAGACAAAAGCGATAATGTCTCAACCGGAAAATGCCTCATGACGGACAAAAAGGATCCAGAACGACAATGTCTCAACACGAAAATACCTAACATATCTCACGAGGGACAAAAAGTACAATGGCCAAAATACATCATGAGGGACAGAAAGGGTAAAAAGGACAATGTGTCAACACGAAAATACCTCGTGAGGGACAAAAAGAACAATGGCTCAACACGCAAATGCCTCATAAGGAACAAAAACTATCAAAAAGGACAATGTCTCGACACGAGTGGTTGTTGAACTGTTGTTAGCATCTCTCTCGTTTACTCTATTATCAGTGGTAATAATGATTGATACCAGCGGACGTTTTGGTTAAAGGATTAACATACTTGGTGAATAACAAGCAGAAACTGTTACTAGACGCGTTTCTGACTGCTATTAGCAGAGATAGAGAGTGATACCAGAACAAGTGCCTTGGCTCAAGACTCCTTCAACCCAGCTTCAAACTTTAATTTATACGGTTGATTGTTTTTTGTATAAAAAACGCTTCTACTACTTTTTGTATTTTATATATAAGTATATATATATATATATATGCTTGTTTAGAATATTGTTCGTGGTGCCGTAGAAAATAAAATTGTTGTTTATTGCGACGCGTTTCGTTTTATTTAAAAATAACCTCATCAGGCAATTGTTTTGATCTAGAACACACACGAAAAAGAAAATAAAAGAAAAAAGGAAAAATAGTAAAGGAAAAAGTTGAAAAGCAGAAAGACACACACGCAAATAAAAATAGTTTAGTATGGGCTCTAGGCCCAACTAGTTTTCACCGAGACGCTGCGTGTCCTCTGCCAAATCCTTGATGTCGGTTGTCTCATCCACCCGGATGAGTTTCGCAACCAGTACCGGTAGTACATCATCATTATCATTATCATCTTCATCTGAGAGCGATGAAGCAGACTGCTGATGTTAATTTTGCTTTTATCACCATCATTTTTGCCGCCGTTACTATTCGCTTTTGGCGTTCGCGCCGTTTTCGATTTAGCAAGTGGCGGTGAATGACGAGATGGAGCGACTAGCTGTAGACCATTTTGTCTATATCCATAAGCATTCAACTTTTAAATAAAAGACGCTAGGCTTTTAATTTCTGAGAGATAATGATTCATCTTTTATAGATGCTAGCTTTAATTTTTGAGCGAGATAATGGAAACAGAATGGCTGCGGATATCAAATTATTTGATAGAATAATAATCAAAAACTGTTACTGACACGTTTCTGATCGTTCTTGCCGAGATAAAGAGTGGTGCGAGAACAAATGCCTTAATTTCAGGCTCTTTGAAACCAACTTATAACTTGGATTTTACAGTTATCTTTAAATGGCATAACGTTATCGGAGAGGGAATTCGCCAAAAAAGCGGAATGTATGCAAATATGAAATATGTCGTGCTCTTATTATCAATAGGAAAAATTCGATCTTATCGGTGAGAATTTGTCCTGTTAATAAAGCATTTTCTATTGTGGCGAACAATAGTCTGTAACAAATAAAACCAATCTCACCGGTGATGTATCCAATGTATAATGCACATCATACAAAAATTTTTTCTATTCATCATAAAGTAAAAGAGGACAGTTTTATCTGTCCTCTGGATTTTCCTCTCACTCGAAGCTCCCTGGTTCACGTTGTTTTGCTCATATGTTTTTGTTCATACACGTTGTATTCCTCACTTCAGGGTTATCGTGGGGAAACGGGGTCTCCTGTGATGGAAAACAGGTCTGAGAATAGAATCGTATATCGCTTATTCGTTGCGCTTCAGTCGCATCCGATATATGTAATAATTATCAGTTGTTTTAATAACTATTTACAAGGTTTCTTTTGTACCAGACTGTTGTAAATTTGGAGTATTTCGGTAGCCCACTATAGGAGTGATGCCTCCAAGCGGTGTATCTGTAAAGCACATCCGCCATAACCGATGAAAGTGAGACGCAAACTTATCCATACCTTCAGTATACGTGAAGTGGAAGAGCATGGTCTTGGTTATGTCAGTCGTCACTGACATTCTTTCCTCTTCCACTTTTCTGTTCTGATGACAACAAAGAATGTTGACTCAGTCAACATTCTTTCTTCATCTGTTTTCATATCTCATGACCACGAAGAATGTTGACTCAGTTCTGGTTGAGTCAATATTCTTTCTTTATATATATATACAGTATTTGTTTGTACAGAGGAGAAGTTTTTGGTTTTAACATTTTGTGATTTTATTCTCACGAATAAAGTTTGTGCGGGCTAACAGTCTTTTCATAGTCAATCTGAGCAATGTTTAATCGATTGTTTTTACTTTCGAAAAATGTTTTTAATATTTTACTCCGACTGCGGTCGTAATCGACTCTGACCTCAGTCAGGCTGGGTATGTCAAATTTTTCAAACACTCGATTGAATTGTTTTTGGATAAATTCATCGCGATATCCGTTTAAAAACAGTGCCATTTGGATATAAGCACGCTCTTTCATATATAGCAAAAAAGTAGAACTGTACCGAATGGCTCGGATAAGAGCTCCAAACGCTATATTACGCTTTATATGAAATACATGAATACTGGAAAAAGCCAGGTAATAAGGCTCGTGTGACGGTTTATGGAAAACCTGGTCACTAATAGCCCATTGTTATTCTTGATATTTACGTCTAAGAATTCTACTTCTTTACCAATGGTACCAGTTAATTTGATGTTTTCCTTGTCCATTCGATTTCAATGTAATAGCCAAGCCTGAGTTTGAGCTTCAGTGGCACGACATGCTATGATTATATCACCAATATATCGGTAATATAGGCTGTTTTTGATGCTGACTATAGTTTTCTGCATCGGCCTTTCAAAGAAATACATGTATACATTGGCAAAGGTGAGTGTGAATGGGCAACCCATTGCTCCACCCCGACTCTGTCGATAATAAACTCCATCGTATAGAAAATAATTGTTCTCAAGTACAAACTGTGCCATTTCCAAGATCGTTTCGATCAGAATACCTATAATCTGTTTTACTTTGAGAATCTCTAAAATTGCTTCTAATCCACCCTTTTGTGGGACCATTGTATATAAATCTGACACATCGATCGTAATGAATATCGCATCATTTGTTAGTTTAAATTGCGCCCATTTCCGTAACCGTTCGACCAAATAGATGCCTCCCGTAATCGACGACCCTTTAGCCATTGCATCAAACAAGGTCGAAGATGTCGGTCTAAGAATTTTGAGATTTTCATAGGTGGAGATTCCGGCAACTAGGGGTCTCAACGGAGTATTCGGTTTATGAGCTTTTGGCAAAAAATACAAATGTGCCAATTCGGCTGTTACTGGATCGACTGACATTTCCTCTACATGCTTTTGTGTTATTCTCTTTCCTTGCCATAGACGACAAGATGAAATTTTTGCAGATTTTGTTTTCGCTTGAAACTACTCTTTTCTCGTCGCCATTCTGTTAATGCTTTTTCAAGGTTTTTGAAAAAAGGAATCATCATACTACGACCTCCGAAGATGCCTTTTCGGATGAGCTTATTATTAATTTTTTCACGAGCTACATCCAGTTCACCACCACGTCGTTTCTTAGCCGTACGTGTATCGTTTATGACATATTTACGGCCTCTTTTAAGGAGGTCATATTCTGGCTCGGTCAAAACCATTGAACTTTGATTCATTACAGCTGGAGCGTAAAAGCAGGAAGAAGCAGGGACGCCAGTGGTCGAGCCTCTCGCTGCATTTTTGCTGTCACATGGACGCTGGCTCGCATGGATTCGACCTCGCGTCGCTCGTCTAAAAAAAAAACTGATCTCTCTAGAAGACTATTTATTCTTATTTGTCGAGCTTCGGAGTAGAGTTTATATAAATCGCTTGCTTTCGGCCCTTCGCTATCTTCTGATTCTGCGTTGGGCGGCATAGACTTTTCTAACTGTTCTATTTCGGTTTCGATTTGTATCAGTTCTATTTCAGCTATTAGTACTAGCGTGTCCGATGCTTTAACCCGAAATTGTTCAACTACGGTGCTTATAACACGTGTAAGATTCGCCATGTTATCTTTTCCAAGTACACGATCATCTAGACGTGGACTGAAATGCACTTTCGGTACGGCTCTCGGTATTATTTGCATTGAATTTCTTCTTTAAGAAATTTAGCAGTTTTTTGTTTCCCATGTAAAATTTCTAATTTTTCTTGTAGTATTTTTACATGTGCTCGTTGTACTGGAGTAGCTTTTTCCTCAAATGTTTTGAGGCTTACAAACTCTTTGAGTTCAGCATACGCTGTATTGACACGATTAGCACAAATTTCTGCAAATTTTTTGATATGTATCATCAGATATTCCTGTGTTATAGTATCTGCGGCTCTTATATGCAATTTGGGTTTACGAGCATTTTGTGCAGCAAGATCATGTGCTGTCACGGTACCGTTATTATTATTGATATCTGAAGCATCATGATAATATGGTACAAATGCTTTTAATTCACATTGCAGTTTCGTCACTGCATTCCCGTGATTTGAAATAGCTCTTTGACGCTGAGATATTTTATCTATACAGTACTGGTCGTTCACGGTATCGTCACGGGTTATTGTCTTTTTCACTATCTCGTGCGCCCAGTGTTTATCTTCCATACCTATTTCCAAGAGTTTCTCAATTACTTGGTATTCATAATTGTCTCGGATCCAGGCATCGTATATTGGTGCTGAAATAGTGACAAAACGGTTTATATGTCGAGCTGTCGGACCGATGTCAGTGGGTTTAGATAAACTGTACAAATATGGTCGAATATGATCTGCCCTCAGATAAGGCCGATCTTTATATTCTTTAGGTTTTTGCTCAGAATCTAGAGCACTGGTCACATCGTTTGAAACTAATGTGACTGGTTTCTTTGTTTGTGCTACTGCCTTTTTATTTTTTTGTAGTCGATTTGTAGCCGCTGTGCATTCGTCAAGCGGTATTTCATCATTCTCATCTTGGTCGAGAAAACAGGCACACTAGTAGAGCATCGGCTTGATTACTTAATTGATTAGCTACTCGCTCTTCGCGATCGCGCCTCGCTCGGTTTAAATGGGTGCGTCACTGTCATCGATGTGGTGTTAGAACAGCACCGCTTTGTCGGTTGACAGATCCATTGAAATAAGGATTATTAAATCTGACGAACGGCTGCTGCTGTTGTTGCTACGGCCTCTCATTAAAATTCCTTTCATATGTCTGACCGTTATTTCTTGGCACGAACGGGCGATAAGGTCGACTATTCTGCCGTTATACATTGTCATATCTTGCCCATTGGTCAATTAGAATTGGCCTATTTTGAACCTGCCCATTTTCTTGTATCATTGGTCTCTCGTTATTTGTAAAACCCCCTGAGGTTGGCTGTCTAGATTGGTATGGTCTTTGATCAGCTCCTCTTTGAGGCAAACGGTTATGACCAGGGATAAAATCACCTAGCGTTGGTTGCTGAGGCAAATATTGCCTTCGTTCAACCCCACGCTGAGGTAATTGATTCTGATTATTTTCATATATTGGCAATTGTCTTTGAAAGACTGGTTGCCGTGGGAAAAATTGATGTTGTTCTTGTTGTGGGATGTTTTGTTGTTGATCAACATCTCTACGAATGCTTTGGTGGAGTGGTTGTTGAACTGTTGTTAGCATCTCTCTCGTTTACTCTATTATCAGTGGTAATAATGATTGATACCAGCGGACGTTTTGGTTAAAGGATTAACATACTTGGTGAATAACAAGCAGAAACTGTTACTAGACGCGTTTCTGACTGCTATTAGCAGAGATAGAGAGTGATACCAGAACAAGTGCCTTGGCTCAAGACTCCTTCAACCCAGCTTCAAACTTTAATTTATACGGTTGATTGTTTTTTGTATAAAAAACGCTTCTACTACTTTTTGTATTTTATATACTCTCTTCTCAAACAAATTCATTCTAAAACTGCCTTCATTGATACAATTCCGTCATATCTAAGACCTATTTATGACTTGCAATATTTAGCATCTCTGACTGTTAGTGGAGCAATGCATTTATCATCGAGAGTAAAAGTGTTTAAAATTTTAGGTTGGATTCCGTTAGAACACATCTATGCAATTAACAAAATAATTCTTTTCTTCAAAATAAAAGACGGTCTCACACCCACTTTTCTCTCTACGCGTATTCCTAAACAACCAATTGTTACTACATCTTTACGCTCAAGAGAGAAAGGTCAAGTAAACGTATTTCGTGCTCGCACAGAAAAATTCAAAAACACTTTTTTTCCTTGGGTTGTGAGACAATGGAATATATTGCCTGTCGAACTGCAAAACATAATAAAATTAAAAAAATTTCGAATAAAAATTTATGATTTCTTTTT